GAAGAAAGTTATGCGAATAACTTGACAGAAGAAATCTAAAGTAATCTAAAAATCATTTTACTAGTAGGTTAGGTTTTTTCATTTATAGTAACAGTTTCACTTTTTAATACTTATGTGAAATTAGGAAACAGATATTCTAGGCCGCTTTGTTTTGGGTGCTTATTCATGAATAAGTTATTAAAACCATTTAAACATGCCGTAGTTCAAATTTGTGATCCAGGCTGTTCAATCTGTGACCTAGGATAGCAGCATCAAGGAGCATTGTGTACATGAAGAAGTGCACAGTACCTAGAGTGAAACTGCTCGTGTTCGATTTCTGGTATCATTCGTAACTGGCTGTGTGATCTCAAGTAAGTTATTTAACTCTCTCAGCCTCAGTTTCTACATTTGTGTGATAGGGATAAAGATAGTTTTCAGATTATTTTCATATTCATTACTTGATTTGATAATCCCAAATAACCAGCTGGGTGCAGTGGCTCACGCCTGTAATCCCAGCACTTTGGGAGGCCAAGGTGGGTGGATTACCTGAGGTCAGGAGTTTGAGACCAGCCTGACGAACATGGTGAAACCCTGTCTCTACTGAAATACAAAACTTAGCTGGATGTGGTGGTGGGTGCCTTTAATCCCAGCTACTTGGGAGGCTGGGGCAGGAGAATCACCTGAACCCGGGAGGCAGAGGTTGCAGTGAGCCGAGATAGCACTACTGCCCTCCAGCCTGGGTGACAGAGTGCGACTCCATCTCAACAACAATAAAAAAGAAAACTGAAGACCCTTCAGTGATAGTAAAAGGCTCACTTAAGCTCATTCACCTAGTTTCTTTTACAGATCAGAGTTAAACCTCTTGTTTGTTTTGTTTTGCTTTATGTGTCTATAGTTCCATTGTTTTTCTTTTTCTTATCAATTTTAAATCCTTTTCATCTAAACTTTATGAATGCCTTCCCTCTTCACAGGTAAAATTATTATATAACTAAAACAATTTTACTTATAAAAATTATTATTTAATGAAGTCCTTAATTTTTAAGACTTGATATTGATAGGTCTTGAATACTTGAAATCTATGGTTAGCTAGATATTTCTCTTAAAAGCTGTACTTATAAATCTACCTTATAAATAAAAAGTCCAGTGTACTACCTTCCTTCAGATTAGCAGAGATTTTTAAAACTATGTTTAAAGTATTATATCTTTGTTTTCTTCATACTGATTATCATTTTTGTTGTTTGTTATAGAACCTGTAAAATGCAGACCTCCAGCTCTAGATCTGTACACCTGAGTGAATGGCAGAAGAATTACTTTGCAATTACATCTGGCATATGTGCAGGACAGAAGGCAGATGCATACCGTGCACAGATATTACGCATTCAGTATGCATGGGCAAACTCTGAGATCTCCCAGGTCTGTGCTACCAAACTGTTCAAAAAATATGCAGAGAAATATTCTGCAATTATTGATTCTGACAATGTTGAATCTGGCTTGAATAATTATGCAGAAAACATTTTCACTTTAGCAGGGTCTCAACAAACAGATAGTGACAAATGGCAGTCTGGATTGTCAATAAATAATGTTTTCAAAATGAGTAGTGTACAGAAGATGATGCAAGCTGGCAAAAAATTCCGAGACTCTCTGTTGGAACCTGCTCATGCATCAGTGGTAATCCATAAGGAGGCCACTGTCTTTGGTCTTCCTAAATTTAGTGTTTGTGGTAGTTCTCAAGAGAGTGACCAACTGCCTAACTCAGCTCATGATCGAGATAGGACCCAAGACTTCCCAGAGAGCAATCCTTTGAAACTCCTTCAGAGTGCCCAGCCACCTGTGGTGACTAATACTGCTAAGATTTGTCCTACATTCTCAGCACCTGTAGGTGAGTCAGCCACTGCAAAATTCCATGCCACCCCATTGTTTGGAAATGTCAAAAAGGAAAATCACAGCTCTCCAAAAGAAAGTGTAGGACTTAATATGTTTTTATCTAATCAGTCTTGTTTTCCTTCTGCCTCTGAAAATCTGCAAAGAAAGTCTTTTTATGGTTCTAGTACCATTGATGCACTTTCCAATCCAGTACTGAATAAGGCTTATAGTAAAACAGAAGATAATGGCCCAAAGGAGGATAGCAGCCTGCCTACTTTTAAAACTGCAAAAGAACAATTATGGGTAGATCAGCAAAAAAAGTACCACCAACCTCAGCGTGCATCAGGGTCTTCATATGGTGGTATAAAAAAGTCTCTAGGAGCTAGTAGATCTCGAGGAATACTTGGAAAGTTTGTTCCTCCTATACCCAAGCAAGATGGGGGAGAGCAGAATGGAGGAATGCAGTATAAGCCTTATGGGGCAGGACCTACAGAACCAGCACATCCAGTCGATGAGCGTCTGAAGAACTTGGAGCCAAAGATGATTGAACTTATTATGAATGAGATTATGGATCATGGACCTCCAGTAAATTGGGAAGATATTGCAGGGGTAGAATTTGCTAAAGCCACCATAAAGGAAATAGTCGTGTGGCCCATGTTGAGGCCGGACATCTTTACTGGTTTAAGGGGACCCCCTAAAGGAATTTTGCTCTTTGGTCCTCCTGGGACTGGTAAAACTCTGATTGGCAAGTGCATTGCTAGTCAGTCTGGGGCAACATTCTTTAGCATCTCTGCTTCATCCTTAACTTCTAAATGGGTAGGCGAGGGGGAGAAAATGGTCCGTGCATTGTTTGCTGTTGCAAGGTGTCAGCAGCCATCTGTGATATTTATTGATGAAATTGATTCCCTATTATCTCAACGGGGAGACGGTGAGCATGAATCTTCTAGAAGGATAAAAACAGAATTTTTAGTTCAATTAGATGGAGCAACAACATCTTCGGAAGATCGTATCCTAGTGGTGGGAGCAACAAATCGGCCACAAGAAATTGATGAGGCTGCCCGAAGAAGATTGGTGAAAAGGCTTTATATTCCCCTCCCAGAAGCTTCAGCCAGGAAACAAATAGTAATTAATCTAATGTCCAAAGAGCAGTGTTGCCTCCGTGAAGACGAAATTGAACAGATTGTACAGCTGTCTGATGGGTTTTCAGGAGCAGACATGACACAGCTTTGCAGAGAGGCTTCTCTTGGTCCTATTCGCAGTTTACAAACTGCTGACATTGCTACCATAACACCAGATCAAGTTCGGCCAATAGCTTATATTGATTTTGAAAATGCTTTTAGAACTGTGCGACCTAGTGTTTCTCCAAAAGATTTAGAGCTTTATGAAAACTGGAACAAAACTTTTGGTTGTGGAAAGTAAATGGGATACTTGGAATTAAAAGGGCATCTCTGTAGTACAGTCTTTTTTATTTTTTAGCATAGAAAGCTGGGGATGTGTTGTTTTTTTTTTTTTAGAAAATATTCTAAATTGTACTTCAAATGATAGCTCAGATTTTACAACTAACTGAAAGCATATGTTAATATAAGTTTTGTTTTCCATTTATTACCTGACGTGTAAGCCTGTCTAAACTGAGAATGAACTTGTTTCTAAGAAGTCTTTCTTTTGAAGTTATATAACATGCAGAATGAGCTCAAATTAATTTTTTTAGTTGAACATTACATATAAAGTTATATCTGATTAATACCCATCTTTTATTGAAGAGTGTTCCTTCTGATGGCCATGTAATTCTTAATGTTGGCTAGTATAATGGTTTACATTTGGAACAGAGCATTGCTTAGTGTTATTTCAGCAGATTTAAGATCTCACTAAAAGCTAAAGTGCCAGTTTTTACTTTATTCTGCCAATTTGTTACCTCTTACGGTTTTTCATTTTTATCAGGACTAACTTTTCAGAAATAGCAAGGTATGATCTAGTATTACAGATATGTTCACAGAACTGAAAGGATAATTAAGGGTGTTGGTTATTTTCAGGGAAGTGTGTGATACTTAACATTTATGTTTTATTTGACACTACAGCCTGTAATACTGCTTTCTTTCAAAAATCAGTGTTTTCAGATTTTTATACCAGACCCATTGTGTTTTATGAAATGTGCATTACAGAAACATGAGAAAATAGATAAGTAAAGAATAAAAATCACTGTTATCCTACCACTTTGCGGGACACACTATTAATATTTAAGCACACATTCTTCCAGAGGTTTTGTTTTATACAGCAGTAGGATTGTATAATGTATTCTCTTTTGTAGCCTACTCTCTAAAGCGTGTCTTCACTTTCCATGTTAACATAAATGTCCTGTTATGATTGCCTAGGATTCCATGGATGGACTATAATTGAGTCATCTGGTAGAGGGCATATAGGGCAGAACATTAGGTTGTTCATCTTTTGTTTATTGTAAAGGAACTATGTGGGGTGCCATTTAGTGATCTTTTTTAAAAGTATAAATTTCTTGAGTAATTCTTGGATTAAAGAATATGCACTTTTGAAAGCTTTTGGCCTGTTTTCTAAATTGTTCTCTTGAAAAGTAGTTCCTGTAAAACTCCATCTGCACTGAATCAGAGGGACTATACTGTGGCAGCATTGGGCAGTAGGCAATTTTGGTATTTATTGGCATTCTTTTTGCATGTATTCAAAAAACTGAAGATACTGAAGGTAGAGCAATGAAAGACAGACAAATATGCTTGGTCTCATGGAGGTTACATTTAAGTTTGAATGTTTTCTTTTGTGAACAGTGCAACTTGAAATGTCCAATCAAAACACTTTTAGTTGCTGAATTTAGACAGTTTGTGTATATATATAGTTTAAATTTTTTCTTGGTTTGCTTTCTGTTTTTATGTTAAAGGATTGTTGTTGCAATTTTTAGTTGTTTCCTTTGTAATGTGTGGCTGTCTTTCATTAGAATTTGTTTTATGTTTTGTTTTTGAGACAGTCTTGCTGTGTTGTCTAGGCTCGAGTGCAGTGATGTGATCTTGGCTCACTGCATCCTTTGCCTTCTGGGTTCCAGTGATTCTTTCTTGTGCCTCAGCCTCCTGTGTAGCTGAGACCACAGCTGTACACCACCACACGTGGCTAATTTTTATATTTTTAATAGAGATGTGGTTTTGCCATGTTGCTTAGGTTGGTCTTGAACTCCTGGCCTCAAACTTGATCTACCTACCTCAGCCCCCTGAAGTGCTGGGATTACAGGTGTGAGCCACCACACCTGGGGTTTTTATTTGAATTTGGATGTTAAACTTCTTGTCTTTAGTTCTTAGTTATATCTTGTAACATCTTAAAACATTTTGCAATATTCATTACTGTCTTTGTCCCTTTCTATTTCTATATAAACAGCCCTATAACCTTGGGTTTTTTGGTATTGATGTCAAGGAATTCTCTAGTTTTTCTTTCTTGGTATTTAATTACATATCAGTCCTGCCCTCTTGGGTCTTACATTTACTATGGCTATTTAGATTTATCAGCATTTGCCCTGTAGGTGTTAATGTTTTGTTTAGCTCTGTAATTTGCCCTTAATATTTATTGTCAGTTTTTTCCAGTTACATCTTCTGCCATCTCTGACTTTAAGCTCCCTTGATCACCAACCACAGGGCCATTTGTTTCTATGGAGTTTAGAAAGTGTGACAAGGAGAGAAAGTCTAGTTGGTTTAGCTCATCTTGGATTAGTCAGAGCCCATGTTACACATGCTCAAGAAGTGGCCCCTCTTGAACTAAAGTCTACTCTGTTAAATAGGAATCTAAACCTGAAAAGAATAGTCAGGATATTTTAAAGCTGGAAAGAAAATTTGAGTTAGGGAGTCAACTGTTGTTTCTATGTTATACTACAGAAAAGCGTTCTTTGTCTCAGCACTGTGATTTTGAGTCTCCTGAAGTAGATGGGCAGGAAGCTTACTAAAACTTTTAAGATTTCTTATTCTTGCCAAATATGATTGTCTTGATTGAATATAATCTTGGATTAAATTCTCTCTAGTGTGGTACTGCACTGTCTTTAACCATTGTTTCAGAAACATGAATGCTACCCGGATATTTAATGTCTTTAAAAATTATATATCCTTAGTAGAAATACACGTTTACCAAACATTTCACTTGGTTGTGATATTAATGCTAATAGTTTTGACAGGAGTATGGACGAGTATGGTGACTTATTCTAATTTATAATTTCAGGCCTTCTTAAATCTTTTTGACATCTGATAATTTATGGTCCTTTTGATATGTATTCATTCCGTGGTAAATTTCTAATTTTTCTGAAATTTTAACTCATTTTCTCAATTCTAAAATATCAAGTCTGCTTTTACTATTGACAACTGGTCTTGATAGAGTCATAGTCTAAAGATCACGGGCTGTTGAGCCAAATAGACCTGTTGAATTCTGGCTGTCATTTACTGGTGATTGTTGGTTACTTAATTGTTCAGTTTCAGTTTTAAAGTGAGAGTAGTTTATATTTGTCTTGTCGGAGAGTGAGGATTAAATGTAAAATACAGATTTAAAAGGCCTGGTTCATGTTTTATGATTGTGCATCTTCTTTGAATCTGCCTTGATTTTGCCCTTGTTGTGAAGGATCTTTTCAACTTTTTCGTGTGATCGTCCTAGCTCATTCTGCTTAGTGTTAGTGGGATTTGTATCATATTATTAGAGATCATATGCCATCTATCTTAAGTTTTGTGGAAAAATTCTAATTCCAAAGAAATATCTCTTAGTTATGTTTCTCTTTTTCTACACTTTAGAACTTTTTAATAGGTCTGCCCCAGATTATTATTTTTCTCTATTCATGCTTGTATGTTATTTATTGTTCTCCATTGTTACTCTCCAGTGTTAAAGGGACACTTTACAACCCACCTTTAGGGATCTGATTAAAAGAAAAATTCTATCTAAGTCCATGGCAAAAGGACAGGTCAAATAAAGATAACATCTTTTAACTTCCTTCTTATATTCCAAGTTCTTGACCTCAGTTCAGGAGCTGGTATTGAGGGAGCATCTGCAGCACATTTTTTTTTTTCTTCTTCTTTTTTATTTCTTCCCTCTCCCTTCCCCTGGAGCACATTTTAAACAGTGTAAGCAGGTGGGGCTATCTTGAAGGTTTGCCCCAGCAGCCTGGGTGAATGAAAGGAGTCTTGGGAGAAAAAATGAGATGTAGTCACCACTTTTAACACTTGCCCTTAAAAAATACTTTTACAACACAGTTTATAATGGAAAGAGCATTAAAATGGGCATTAGAAAACTGCCAGTGATTCTAACCTTAGACAGTCTGTGTGAACTCCCTAAGATCTGTGTTTTTTTTTTTTTTTTTAAGTGATAAAAGTGAGGGAATTGTACTGGACAGTCCTTAATTGACACATCCAGATTTCTGTTATTGCTTAACCAAAAATTTATGAATTTCAGAATTGCTTACAGAGTATCAGGTGCTGGGTACTGAGAGGTACAAAACAAAGTCTAGCCATATAAGGGCTAACTTTTAAGTATTACTAATTTGGCTCATTACAAAAAAAAAAAATGGGAAAACATGAAGAGAGGGCTTTATTAAGGAGTTAAGTCAGCATAATGGACCACTTAATATATAATAAATCACTTAATAAAAGGGAAAAAGAAAAATTAGGAAGTCCACATAAGGTGGCGTTTTATAAAGGCAGCATGCTGTGGTTAAGGACACTTGGGTCATGGATGTTTTGTGACAGCTGTGCTCAGGCATCTCAACAAGCAGCAGTGTGCCTGCTGACCAGTAGGGCCTGCCATGGCCCATGAAGCCTAGCTGTTAGACCTCTCTTCCATTTCTGCTCAGAAATGTAGAGATGACAGGGGAAAATATAGGCAAGTCCCAGGTTCCTTGGATATGGCCAGGGCAAGCACTCAAACACTACAACCTGTGCAGTCAGAGCAGAGCAGAGCCTTGTTTCCTTCTTTACTCCTTGTCTCCTACTTTGCTTGTCTTCACCCACTGTCCTGGACTGTCAGGCCCTGGTTCTCATCCCTATGTGTGACGAAGCCATGCTGTCCCAGAGAGAGACAGAACCGCTTGGTAGTCCCATGCTTTAGTGTCAGAGTTGCACCTTACCTTTGTATCCAAGAAATGCATGCAGCTCACCTTTCCCTTAAAAGGCTTCTAGGAAAATACTACCCCAGCTTTTTCTTTCCCTAGAAGAATATATTAGCTTAATAAGAAAAGGTATGGTATCAAACTTTCCATTTAAAATAGTAGCCTAAGCCACAAATTTACCTTTCCTGCCCATATGTGCCAAATAGTCATTGAAATGAAGAAATATACGCTAAAATCCAATGTGATGTTGGAAAAGAGAGAAGGATACCATTTCAAATATGACAGGTATTTCTGGAGGTTACAGAGCAAATGGTATTAGGTTGTTGGAATCCCTGAGCTAAATAATGGCTGTGAACACGCCAGCTGAGATTGATTATCTCTGCAGTGCCTGGGCTGTATCCCTAGCTTAGGCAGCAAAATAGGCTGTGGGCCAGTGGTCTGGTATCTGAAAGGATTGCCAAGACAAGTCTTGCAGACCGCAGGCCCATGAGCCACTGGGAAGTGGATTTCCCTAAATCTGGGAGCCATTTACAGTCACCTGGCTTTTATGGGCCCTGCAGCCTGAGAAGTGAGTCAGGGTGGCAGGTACTTCTGGTTGCCACGTTAGACAGAAGCACAAGTATTTGATGAAGCAGTGGAACTTAATGTAACTACTGTCTCACTTCGTAACATTTTACCTACTTCCACATTTTTCTAAGGGTTGACCCCTTTTCCTACAGTTTCTCTATATCCTTGCCACTGACACATGCAGGCTTATGCCAAGACATAGAGGTCATGCTCACACCACAGTTAACACATCTCTCTCTGTCAGTGGCTGAGCAGTATGAAAGACAATTGCTAAGAAAGCTTTCCTCTCAGCATACTGATCACTTTTAAAGTATAAGTTAGCAATACTTCCTCATGTAAAAATCTTCCAACAGATTCCCGTCGAAGTACAAATAAAATACAATTTCATTCCTAGAGCCAAATATAATTTCTCTTTAGTCTCCTTTCTTTCTTTGCTTCATCCCCCTGGATGTTAAGGTGAACAAACATGTTTCCCATATAGAAAGTATGGTAGGCCGAATTCTGAAGACGTTCCTCCAAGAGACCCATCCTCTGCTTATTCAATCAAATCTAGGCCCTGCTGAGAAGGGACCTTGCAGAGGTAATGTGGTTACAGACCTTTAGATAGGGAGGTTATCTTGAATTATTTGTGTAGGGCCAATCTAATTTCGTAAGTACTTAAAAGCAGAGAATGTTCTCTGGCTGGTTAGAGAAAAGAAAGGCTGAAGAGGCAGAAGAAAGATGTGGCAGAGAGGATGTCCACGATTCCAAGCATGAGAAGGATTTGCTCTGCAGTTGCAGCTCCGTGATGCAGAAGCCCATGCGCAAGGGCTAGAGAGAAGCCTCCAGATAACAGCCAACACAAAGCAGAGATGTCAGTCCTACAGCTGCACGGAAGTGAATTCTCAGCAACCTAAATGAGCCAGAAAGCCTCCCCAAGAGATTCCAGATGAGAGTCCAGGTCAGCGGACACCTTGATTTCAGTCTTTAGAACCCGGAGCAGAGAAACCAGTAGAGCCTCCCAGACTTCTGATACACAAACTGTGGGTTCTAAGCTGGTAAGTTTATGGTAGTTTGTTATCACGGCAATGTGGGGTGGGAACATTACACTGTTCTTTGAGTTTGGAAAGCTCTTCCTTACAGCTTCTTCAAGTTGGTAAAATATAATTTCTCCAGCAAGGCCTTCTATGACCACTGTGAGATAGCCTCCACTAACTTCCAACACATGCATGTCTATTACTATCATATTTTCCTATGTTTTTTATTGGTAGCTGTTACTGACTGAAAATACTTTTGCTGTGGTTAAGGACACGGGCCATTGGTGTTTTGTGACAGCTGGGCTCAGTCATCTCAACGAGCAGCAGTGTCCCTGCTGACCCAAAGGGCCTGCCACAGCAAGTGAAGCCTAGCTGTTAGAGCTCTCTTCAGGTTAGTAAAATATGATTTCTCCAGCACGGCCTTCTGTGACCACTGTTTGTGAGAGAGCCTCCACTAACTTCCAACACATGCATGTCTTTGTCTCTAATCCTATGTCACACCCATTAGAAGGTTCTTTCCCGCCAGGAACTTTATATTGACCTCTGAAAAACCCAACTTTGTGAGACACACACAGAGAAGCAGCATTGAGACTGAGTGGAGCTGTAAAAAGTCTTGATCCCAGAAAACATGGTAGCCACCAAATTAAAATAGCTCTTGTATTAGTGTATTGTTGCATAA